CCATGAAACAGAGAGAGGGAAAGCCTGTCACTGAGAGGGAGTAGCTTTGACAAATTACTGGTTTCCATCACTGGGCAGCATGGTGCCCACTGGTTCCTAACTTTATTATCATTACCATTATTTAGTATGATTCCTTATTTTACCCCTACCTTACACTATCTTGAATGAGTCTCAGGAAAAGGACTAATCATGAGAATCTATACTAAGGCAGAACACCATAGAAGAGAATGGGAAAGAGGGGACTACTGTCCCCAACTTCTTTCCTTCTCTTCCTTCCTTCCTTCTATTGATCCTTCTGCCCTTTTCCACCTCTTCCTTCTCTTTGATCTCTATGCACTCACTAATTCACAGTATTAGTATTAGTACTAATTACTAGCATTAGTAATTATTAATTAATTAGTTTCCTAGTAATTAGTATTAGTACTAATTATTAATATGCTAATATTATAATATAGCAATAAAACTATTAGTACTGATACTAAGTACTAGTACTGTGTTAGTATTAGTATTAATTACTAGCATTAGTAATTACAGTACTAGTATTTTAATACTAGTCTAAGTCATGTGGAGTCAACTATGTAGTCCTTTATAAAATCCTAAACATTATCACACACATTGCATTGAGTTTAAAACTAATCAAAATACTTGACCCAGTATCTAACCTAATATTTCATTAATTATATATTATCATATGTATCACTTAATATTTTTTAATATCAAGGACCAATGTAGACAAACTTATTTTACCCTGGGTGGGGGAGATTTAAAAAATTAAAGAAAATTGAAAATAACAATTGAAAGAAGGTGTTTTGGAAGTTCAAAGTCAATGAGAATTCTAAGCTTTGGAGTCTCTGAGATTGACTATATCACATAATGATACAATTAGTGCACAAGGTCTGTCCAGAAGGTATTCAGCTATGTAATAAGAAAAATGAGACATTTATGAAGAGGATACAAAATACAAGAAACATTGTACATAGGACAATGATGACTCAGTCCCTCTCAAAGCTAGCACCTTGGGACCTCACACAGTTCCAATTACCATCAGCTGCCTGGTTGTATTTTCCTGAATCTCATCAAGGGTCTGAAATCTCCTCCCTTTCAAAGGTGATTTTAGTTTTGGGAAAAGCCAGAAGTCACAGGGCACCAAATCTGGGCTGTAGGGGGCTGAGTCACCAGGGTGATCTGATGTTTCACCAAAAACTCTACATGAGAATTGATGCACGAGAGGTTGTATTGTCATGATGAAGCTGCCAATCACCAGTGGCCCAAAGCTGTGGCTTTCTGAATCATCCAAATAGTTTTCCTGGAGGAATGTGCAAGCTTAATGCAAAACTTGATGCAGATTTATTGCTCTACTCGCTCAGTCATTTTGAATGTGATGGCCACACAGTGCACATACATGCTCCCTCTATGGTATCTACCTTCCCCACTGACTAGTACAGTTAAGTTGTCATTGTTCACGCACATGCGTTCCAGTCCACTGTCCTTGGCTGCCAGATTACATCAATATTGCACAGACCATACATTATATTAGCCATGGTTGGACTTTTTCTGGAGAGACCTCCTACATAAAGAAGTCAGGGAAGAAAGCTAATTTTCTGGTTTATTTATTTCTTTGTTTAATTTTATGGTGCAAAATATTATGTATATTATAACTGTATAATATCTAAATACAAAATAAGCAGCTGAATGTGCAAGGATAGATTACCTGAGGCATCAAAACTAGAGACAGATTAGGAAGTTGCTAAAGAACTGGTGATATGTTTACAATAAATCAGTTTTTGCATTGTGAGAAACCTCACAGTTTATAAATTTGTACACAAAAGTACAGAGTGTATTGAAAAAATGTGACTGAAAAATGCCACTCACAATGTAACTTTGTAATCATAATATTAACAGAATAACAGTAATAGTACTAAAAATACCATCACAATTGAATATTTTCTGATATTTATTCCAAGAATCATAGTCAACCCTTTGCACTTTACATTTAGAATTTAGTGTTTTATTTTTTCCTTTGAGATGTAGATCTTAAAGGGAATTGACTTTTAATAAAATGCATTATCATCAACATTGAAATCTGATGCATATTTTTACTAGTCTTTTTTTTAAGGCAGGAAACATCTTAATGGTCTTCTATACTCACATCTGAGCCAGATATCTTGGTGTAGTCAAAAACATTTTTTAAAACTGTTTGAAGTCACTAAATGCCCACTACAAGCACTAAAGCACAATATATGGTCTGTATATTTTCTTGTGTTGTTGTATTGCTAAAATTTCTGTAAAATATGACAAGGCTTTCTCCTGGTTGCTTCAAATCTTAACATGCTGGGAAAAGTCACACAGAAAAGAACACAATTTTTAAACACTTACTGATATCACTTCACCATTTATTAATAACATATTGTGGACACAGACTCGAAGTGATGCTCACGTGTAGAGAGAGATAAATGAAATAAAAAAGCTTGCAATGCTCTCACTAACTCATCGTGTACACTCTTCCCACCCCCACTTTCTATTTTCTTCGTAAATTAAAAATTATTTCTTCACCTCTGTCCTCTTCACTTTCCTCTCTATATTCTCCAGTGTTCTTTTCCAGTTAAGATTTTAGGTTCTGAAAGATTGTGTTTCGCAATATTTGAGTCACAAGCTCCTATGTAGCCTATTTCAGGTATATTTGCCCAGATGGAAAAATCAAAATGCTTTCCACCCCACATAGCATTTGACTGAAAAAAAAAGTGTAAATATTTTTCCTCTTCCAAGGGACATCTTAAAGTTAAAACCTAAATCCTAGGTACTAATATGAAAGTGTCTTTTTTTAAGATTTTATTTATTTATTTTTTAGAGAGGGAAGGGAGGGAGAAAGAGAGAGAGAGAGAAACATCAATGTGCAGTTGCTGGGGGCCATGGCCTGCAACCCAGGCATGTGCCCTGATTGGGAATCGAACCTGAGATGCTTTGGTTCGCAGCCCGTGCTCAATCCATTGAGCTATGCCAGCCAGTCTGAAAATGTCTTTTAATAGTTACTTTCACATAATGGAAAAATGCTGATTATGTAAAAATAATGTTTCAAAAGTCCTTTTCTACAGGGACTTCCCCAATAACCTCACTCAGAAGTATTCTTCATACTTGTATCACTATCCTCGCTTTTTGTATTTTGTTTAATCAGTTTCTCCTTTTTATTTTCTTTACTTATTCCTGAACTACACTGTTCTAGGCAGTGTCTGCACAGTTTTACTGGGCATTTACTTTGCTCAATTTCTGCATAGTAATCATTTGTCAAAATAATAAATCTGAAAATTCAAGGAATTAATACAAATTAATCAAATTAAAAGTTGATAATATATGTTCACCATTCAGTTGGTGATACATGCTCACCATTAGGTTTTTCTTTTTTTTTAAGGAAACAAAAACTTCCTGCTTATCAATTTCCATTTGCCAATTTTCAATGCTATGAATGAAAGCAGTGGTAAATTTAATTACAAAACTTACATTTAGCAGATATTACTTCTGCAAAATTGCATTTCTCTTAGAATTATTCTGGCCTACATATTTAAAAATTAGTATTATATTATAAAATATTACCTAGAAATAAAATATTTTGTCCATCATCATGTGTATTGGTTATGAATAAATTATAGTGTGATTTTGAAAGTGCTTCCTCCTTAGTTAAATGCTAGATTTTTAAGAATTATCCAAGATTAAAAGTTAGCTGGTGAGACACATAGAGATTTAGATTAACCCACAATCCTCTCATTAGCATACAACCTGGTTCATGTTTTCTGAGAGTATATGTGTGTATGTGCAAATGGACTTTCTTTCCTATTTTAATACTGTCTTTGATATTGTTTTAAATGTTTCTCTTGTCTTAAACGATCTGTGGAAATTGTATGACTAAAGCAACCTAGACCTTTCATTGAGCTGTCACTGAACCTCAGTGAACAAGAAATTATCCAGTACACCAGGTATTCTGGAAACTCTGATGTGACATTTTCCACTCTGAACAGGAAATCCACAAAGTTTAGGTTTTAGGGAAAACATTATCAATCCTACTCCATCACTCTTTCTTGAGAAGACTGAGAAGAAAAATCATTAGAAAGACATTAAAATACAATTAAATCATCAGATAACCATTTAAAATTGTCTCGCTTTCACATCACCCTTGCAGTCCTTGCACATCTGAAAAAGCATTTTAACATCACAGTCAGAGTGCCAGTGTGACTGTTGGCATCAAGGCATTTGTAAAGTCTCTTGTTCGACTTTGACACCAGGTGAAAATCATTTAGGAATAGTGTACTTAAAGGATGCAGAAAATAAAAGAAAGCAAGGAATAAGAGAAGGAAGGAAAGAAAGAGAAACTTGTAAAAGGCAATGTGATTGATTTTGAATAAAAAATAAATCATAATTAGTGGGACTGATCAAGGAAGATGTCTCAGTAATTGGTCATGGTTTAATACTCCTAAATAACAAATTGCATTTAAGAAAAAAGTAAGTGAGGAGGTGGAAATAAAACATGATGAAGGAATTTTTTAAAAATAAAGTATCAATAGTTGTACAGCAAGATAGAACAAGAATCAAAAGGAAGAAAAGTGTATAATATTATATAGGTTCCTAATGAAAGGTGTTACAGTTAATTTTATTCAAACCTACATTACTCTAGAATTCTTACATAAATTTTTCATTCTAGATTGGTTCTTCCTAGCATGAAATCAATTTCTAGTGAGTTTTCTTTTTCAGTGTCTGTGATGTTAATTGGTAGACAAATTCATGAAATGCAAATACATTTTTAACATTTTCCAAGCAAAATATAATCAGAAGGGAAAGTGAGCTAGAGATACAAGAACTGATAACATTACCAAATAAATGTAGAAGTAGGGATTAGCACATAACTAAAGACCAAACCTGCATGTGATCATTACTCCAAAGCTTTTGGCAAATCAATGTGTTTGTGTATATTCTTTGATTTATATAAAATTTGCATGAAATATACGCCTTACCTCATTCTGAAGATCTCGGATCATTTTGCTCTTCCTTTCCACTTCAGTCTTTAAAAAATTAATCTGGAAATGAATAGAAAATTATCTATACACATTTCTCCTTTATTTTTGTGGCTTTTATAAAATTATTTTCATAATTTTGGAGGTGTAATGTAATCATATTTTATCAACATTAAAAAAGGATTTAAATGTTCATTAACTGACCTTGTATTACTCAATTCATACATATATCTCTTGAGTATATACAAATAGCCTTCTCTCATATAATAAAATAAAATAAATAAAATATTTATTTAAAAAAATTCAGAATCCATGCACACTATGAATATTATCCTATTATCTGTTTAAATGTCAAATTTTTAAAAAATGTGGCTCTAAATTGTTTTTTAATTAGAGTCTAGGGTTGGGCTTAGGAAAATATTCCTAAAACACTCTCCAGGTTATTTTGACCTATGGCTAAGTTTGAAAGTAGTTCCATAGTGATATTCATGAATTTAAAAGTACAGAATGTTATAAATACTGTACCAAAGAAATCATGATATATCCTGCTGAATTTGATAGTGTTGGGAACAGTAAATTTAGACAAGTAATTCAAACTCCATTTGCATAAGCATAACAGATTATCTATTTGAATACTTTGAAAAAAAATTAAAGCATAGTAGCTAAGGTTTGAAACTTTATTGTCACTGAGGTTTACTGTAAGAAAAGCTAACTGTATGACAGTGAATGAAACATTTAATTTTTCCAATTTTCTAGTTTTGGTAGTCACATTTAAAAAAGTAAAAGGATATAGGAGAAATTAATTTCACTAATATATTTTATTGAATGAAATATATTCAAAATATTATCATTTTGACACATAATAGACTATTAATGCATTTTTTTGCCACATACCTTCAAAATCTACTGCATGTTTTACACTTACAGCACATCTCAGTTTGGACTAGCCATTTTTAATGCTCAATAGCCTCATGCATCTATTGGTTATGCATCTAACAACATAGTCTTTAAAAAATTCCTAGAATTCTACAGAAGAGATTGGCAATGTGAATCATGTCCAGAGATAAATTGAATCAATAGAAATCAGATAAAGAGTAAAGTTAATTTCCACCATATAGACAGAATTTAAGTTAGTTCAGAAACATTTCAAACATAAAAAAGGGGACAAGAATTAATATAAGTCCAATAAAATATTTCTGGGCCCAATCCTAATGATAAACATGCGAAAATGGTTTTTCCAGTTTTATTGGACAAAATAAACCTTGTAGACAAAGCATTGTACAAACTCTTAAAGCCCTACCTATTTTTTCTTCCATCTTCCCAAAGGTAGTGATTGCCCTGAAGTTCATGTGTATTCCTCTTGTGCATGTTTTCCTGCATTTTACTTATTGTGTATTGCATAAAGCCTGACAACACATGTTAATACTCCCTCTTTCTGGTTGTACAGGTGTTCATTGCTGTTATTGGAAATCAGGTTCTTCCACAGGATGGAGAGGAGAGCCTTCCAAGGACCTAGCATGGGAGATTGTGAGTATGGCAAGGTTTATTTGAGTGGAAATTGAAGCTGCCCCCTGCATTTCCAATAACTCATCTCTTCTGTCCCACCATGAAAAGGGTCCAGCCATGTCCTCATCAAGGCCAAAACAAAAGCCAATGTCCAGAGTTTCTGCTGCATTTTAAAACTTAGTCTTTTGGAACCCATGTGGTCACGTTTTCCTGGGCAAGACAGCTTATGAATAGATGGAGCAAGTATGAGTCACAATCATGAGAGAAAGAGAGAGAATGAGCTTCTTTGTTGCCATGGGATTATATTAAATTGGATTTGGTATGGACCAGATGCTTTTTCAAAATAACTAACAAATGTCCCATGCTTTCATAGGCTTTGTGATGGCTCCACCACCTAGGCAATCCATTGTTCCCCCAGTCTAGCCTGACAGCCCTCTGTGGTCAAGCACCTCTCTCTGTACCATCTGGACTTCCACTGTGCATGTGTTTGTCTCTCCCTGCCTCTCCCCCCTTCCTCTCCCATAATCTTGTACCGAAGAGAGGAATAGAGAATTGTGAATCCTGGCAGGGCAATGCTGTGATCCCCTGGGGTGTAGAGCTGTAGCTTCTTGGTGAAGCAAACAGGCTCACGCTCCCCAGTGAATTAAGGTCATTATCCCCTGTGCTTCCTTTTCTTATTAATAATTAGTTAATCAGCTATGGTAACATTACCATTCCCTCAAATGGTAATGGAAATCTAAACCAAACCATTTCTGATGGTCAAACTACATATAAAACAGAAGCAGAAGCCTGAGAACTATTATGTCTATTGTTTGGCATAATAATATTCAAGATATGTTTAAACTATGAAGATATTGACAGCAACCTCAAAACAGCAGTCACATTCATTGTCTGTTTAGGATCATAAAGTTTTATTTGGTTGATGAAATGAAGGTATCACTGAAAGAACTTGATGTCATTCAAAATTCGATATGTATGCAGAGCAATAGTGTATGGCCTAATAAATAGCTTTTACACTCATTTCTATTATTTTGTGCAGGTCTTAGATTATTGAAAGTGACTGGACTGGCCCTTTTTGGTTTTATTATGATTTGTAAGAGACTCTCAGCAATAACCATCAGGAAACTTTGAATAAAAAAGTTTATAAATTTTAAGTCTTGAACTTATGGCTCACCTGGAGCCATACAGTAAGTGGGGGAGAAAGGGGGAGCAAAGGGGGAAAGGGAGCAAAAAGAAGCTAGGACTGAGGTTCTGGCTTTCTTGAGGTTGGGTTCAAGGGCTCACTCTTTATTGGTGAATCTAAATCATGATGGAAACTTAAATTGTAGGAGGAGAAAAAAAGTGGCCCAAATAGTCAGTTGTTGGTCAGTTATGGAGGTCGACCGGGATCTCTAAAACAAAGGAGCAGTATAAGGGGGAGAGGGAGGGAAAGGGAAGAGATACCTGGGCTTCTGTGGCTGGTGGTGTGTTTTTTGAGATAGACATCTTTGAAGATATGTCTCTTTGCATTGGACACCTCTGCAATCAAAGCTTAAGTCATTTTCTTGAGTTACTGGTGGAAGTGGAGTTTTTGCTCTGTCACCAGGAAAAGAATTTCCTGAGACCCATATGTGAGAATGGGGTTCCGTGGTAAACTTCACTGATAATATAAAATTAAGGGAGTTCCCTCCGGACTTCCCAATGTCCCATCTCCATCCATCTCACCATGGAAAATCAGGGCTAGAAATAAAGTCAACGTCCAAAGATCCTGGACAATATTAAAGTTCAGCCCAGTCAAGCATCCAGCTAGCTTAGCATGTGTTTCCAGCTGCAGCCCATTGCTGCGTTGCAGTATTCAGGCTCCCTCCTGGAGCCTGCCAATGGGGTCAGCACATGGGCCACGCAGCTGCTAGGACCACATGGCCTTGGAGAGAACAAGCTCGTGCACCATGAAAGTGTGGGTCATTGGGTGAGAAAAAAAGAGAGTTTCTTTGTCCCCTAGGCATTATATTAGCTTGGGCTTGAAAAAGACCAGAAGCTTTTTCAATTTGGCCAATGAGCTTCCCAAGTTTTGCAGGCTTTTGATAAGGCTACCCCCAGGTTAAACTGAGAGGCCTCTTTGTTAAGCTTCTCCTCCTGAGCCTCCAACAATCCAGCAATCCAATATTAGAGGTAGGGAGAAGAAAGCAATCTCCTTGGAAGAGAAATACCATAAGCCCCTGGAATGTGAAGCTGCAGCTTCCTGTCTAAGCAAGCAGGCACATGCTCCTCATTTCGTTAAGCTCGATGTGTAGTTCCCTTTGATTCTTTTTCTTAATAATTATCTAAATACCAATGGTAACACTTGCAATACAAAAAAGAAAAACTAATGGCCAAGGCTTACACTACATCTACCTAACCACTTTGTGAACACTGAAAATTTTTGATATGTTACCAATATGTCTTCACTTTAAGTCATGAAACTATTCAAAGCCATCATGCTTGTATTAAAATCTTGCTTTTCTATTGATACCATCATTTTCCCCAAATCCTTACACTTTGATACTATTCAGTATGTTATCCATAATTAACAATTTACTTTAATTCAAATTACAGTAAAATATATTGCAATGTCAACAATATAATTGTTTAAATGTTAAAATGAGGCATACAAGAACTTGAGAATATTCAAATATTCAGGACCTAAAAATATATTCATAACATTTAAAAGTACTAGCATTTTGAAACCATTCCTATGGCATTTCATCAAGTTTTAACATCCTTGGAAAACTAAGCATTCCTAGCAGGTAGTAATAAATTCATTCTTAGAGACAAAAATACCATTTACTTATTTATTTGAAAAAGAATGTAAGAACATAGCAATACTTTATTCTTAATGAGTGGCAAAGTTTGAAGTCAATTATTACCTTTAGACTAATTATGCTTCACTTAGGGTAAGTTAAGCCATGAAAATTAACGAGAGTAGTGAAATGCCTCCAATGAGCATTAACGTCTTCAGTTACTCTGACTATACCAGAGAGCTCATTCTCCCTTGCTATTAAGTATTTCATGAGGTACACAGATGTGACAGATTTGCCCCTTTGTTATTTGCTTGTGCATAAAAACAAAGGTTCACATGTTCCTAAAAACATTTTCCACAGAATTACTGTATTTTTTTCAGACTGTAAGATACACTTTTTACCACATTTGCTTCAAAAATGTTTTCCTATTTTCCTCTTCTAAAACCTAGGTGAATCTGATGGTTCGGACCCCAGATGCACCTAGGTTTTAGAAGAGGAAAATAGGGGGAAAAGTTTTGAAGCAAAAAATGTGGTAAAAAAAAATACGTCTTATAGTCCAAAAAATACAGTAAATCAAGGCAGCTTTATTTCTTTTTCAATCTAATTTTTCAAAAGATTATCTCCTTTTCTATCTCATGATTAAAAGTATTATTACCATTAAGTTTCAGGCATTTTACTTTGTGCCAAGTGTTGTGATATTTGCAACATCTTTGGCATAAAACATACAATTTTTTGTTTTTATGGAAAAAGTGGTAGTAATGAGATATGTAATGAAGGACAACACATCTTTTACCTGCT